ACTAGGTTTGCAATTAGGAGAAAAACGAGTGGCATGTTTATTAATTACATTAATTCCGCTGGATTTTAGATCATCCAGAAGCTTTTTTGAGTTCCGATCATTGCACAAAAGATTAACATTGAAGTCGCCACAACACACAATATGGTCATATTCTAAAATCAACTCAGAAATTTTTACTTACTATCAACTATTTAAACAAAAAGACATTCAACAGCACTTGAGGGGTCCGATTTAAATTTTAATTCTGCTTTAAGTGACTTTCAGCAATAGATGGCAACACCACCGTTATTTTATTTTGTCTTTTTTATAGGCTTTTAGGGCCTAAAAATCCGTTCCCTGGTGATAAGTAATCATTCATCCGCAATTTTCTTGTACGTGAAATGAAGTTGCACGATCGATTTGGTTAAAGTTTAATCCCGAACCCCTCTTTGTGTTCCCCGCTACTGAATTCTATATACTGTCAGTTTTCACAAAATTTAAAATGCACTTGCTATGAAAATTGTGTCAAAATAAAAACTTCACGTTCACGCTCGTATTGAACTGTATAGCGAGCTGAAGTGTAAATATCGCACCCTAAATCAAAAACAGTCACAACTTAAAAAATCCCAAATGTACAGGAGCGGCAAAAATCTGTTGATGCTGCGCAAGCGACATAATCATAAAGAACTGTCAAAAAACAAAATTGCTCTCAGAGAAAAACAGAAAACCTTGAAAGTACGGCAACGCTTTTCGTGTAAAACTGATAAAACTGTCGAATATACCGGAGACGCGAATTTTTGTTTACGTAGCTGGTTTTTTTTCCTTTGGCGATTTGCTAAATTACACAAATACACTGGCAAAAAAAAACAAAAATACTTACAAAACTTGATATTTCTTCGCTACGATACATTTAATAAGGTGAAAGCTTTTGTTTTTGGTTATTCAAATTCAAATTTCAATTTGCTTTGAAGACATTGAACAACTGATGGTTTGACACTTTATCTGATTTCACCAGCACACAGGGAGAACTCATTTACTCTCCAATTTTTTCCCCTATGTTGAAGGTTTTAGGGGGATGGCGTTTAATTTTTGTATTGCATACAATTTTCGAATGTGAATTTTCTTCATCGACGGGTGGGGGAATGACTAATTTTCTTCTACTTGAAACTCTTGAAAACGACATAAGTAATGGGGATGGCATTCCTTGCAATTGCTGAAGGGCGATGTAGCCTCTTCATCCAGAACGTGCATCACGCTTTCACGCGCATCTACCCAGAGATAGATAATTTTCAAAAATCATGTCTAAAATCTCACCGTCAAACCATTATCTACAACACGTAAGTAAAACAGAATGGACATGGTTAAAGTAATTAAATATCAGTCAAAAGAGCTCTAATGGGGATTTTCTTTTCCTCTAATTTGAAATATCCTGGTTCCCAACATGAAGCCAAATGATTGGCTGACAAACTGATGCGATTGAATTTCTCATCTCCCTGGCTGTTTGGTATGACACCCATTCCAGATCAGTCTTATGAGTAAATCAATGCAGAGTACAACCATGGACATCGCTGCAGCCACTGAGTCGATACGAAGTTGCGCTGATTTTCTATCCACTTCCAGAAATAAGGGCTTTGAATTTGCGGCGAAAGAAGCTCATCTCGCAAAATAAGAAAGAAGAAAATGTTCGATCACGAAAATCAAAATGCGTCTGCAATTTTCATACCAGAAGTTCAATTTAGAACTGATTCTTTTGTGGTTCTAGTTGACACTGCCCTGGCTGCTGTCAAGCAAATGTTTGAGCAGTTGAAAAGTCATGAAAATCCATGGGGGTTTTCGTATTACTCACATTCGAAAGAGTCCCCAGATTCAATAGGAGATGGGACTTATGGGATGTCCATAAATGGATTGAAGCTTTATGAAGAGTTGAAACAATTACGACGTATTAAACCTGTAGCGATGAAACGGCCATTGGTGGTTCTTGAATTTCGCCAAGAAAAATGTCTTCGATGTATTTCCTAATGTTTGGGTTTCTCTCAGGATTTTGTTCACTTTGCCAGTGACTGTCGTCAGCAGGGAGCGAAGTTTTTCGAAATAACAGCTCAACGAAACGTATGCCCCGAGAAAAATTAAACGCTTAAGCTATCTTATCTATCGAAAACGTGATTGTTACGCAGATTGGCCTGTCCAAAGCCATCGAAAGATTTGCTTAAGCCAAAGCACGCAGGTAAACTTGTTGTAATTGCTATCTGAAGATTTTGATTATAGAAAACTGGGCTTTTTTTATTTCTACTATTTTTTCAACTGATTATCGTATAAGAAAAAGAAACCGAAGTAATAAGCATTATTATCAAAGGGCGCTTCGTTCAATTTACGCCCCGGGCGTCATTGCTTCTCAAGCCGGCCCTGCCTATATTGCCATTCCTGCAACTTCTGGCAAGTGAGGGAACGCAAACAGTAGTTTCTAGTTAAAGAAAATGGTGATGAAGAAGAAATTTTGGCGGACGTTAGATTAAAGGGGCTATGAACTGTTGCATGAAAAAAAAAATTTTTTTTAAATTTTTAGTTGTGACTGTTTTGGATTTTGGACGCGATATGTTTATTTTAAGATGCAAATACCACCTTTAAAGATAGCAATGTCGTTCCTACATTTAAATATGTATGTATGTATGATAGTGCTTTCTCGAACTTCTCCTCTGATTTTTGGTGTGCGCTTTGATATTGTTACACAAGAGGGAGCACCCAAATGTTTACGCCGCCTATAAACAGCGAGTGGATTTTAAGAAGCTTTTTCATGAGAGAAGTACACAAAGGTATGCCTTTGCCATATATCGGAATAGGGATCGAATCCAGGTTTTACCGATGTCCACTCCAACCACTTGACTACAGCAGCCGCAGAAATTACCGCAATCGGAACCTTGATTTAAATAAATAAAAGTTATCTATTACTTAGACATAATTGGTTTCAATTAAAAAAGCAAAAACAACGTTCTTCTTCTTTTGATTAATTCTCCTTCTTATTTGGCGCTGTATCCGCCTAAGCGATTTTGGCCGAGTCCAACAAATCACCTTAGTCGTTCCTTCTTGGCCAACTGACGCCAATTGGATTAATTATTTATTATAATAAATAGTACTTTGTTACAAAAAGGCCGTTTTTTACTCCTGATTTCTCTCATACTTCCGAAATACAACTTTTAGCTAAGGGAGTGTCAAAGTAGTCTGTCACTACGTACAATACCTTGTATACTTAATAGCATCATGCTTGAACCTACATATATTTAAGTGTAAAATATTCTATAATTTATGGACATGGAGAAGCCATGTTTTACGCTAAAAAGGCATATTTGAAAACTGTGATAAATTAACCCGAACAAAGCTATTCTTATTCAGAAACGTCCAACGATCTCAAAACTGATTAGTATTTTCAATAATACCTGCTGAGCAAGCCGTTGAATCCGTTTATTTCACCGAATTCGATCGTGGCACGTTCTAACAGTTATGAGTTGATAGCTTTCTTAAAATTTTGTTTAAGGAAACTTTCAATTATAACAGTAATTTCTGGTTTGGTATTACTTCTTAAACATGGAATATGATGCTTTCATATGAAATATTACATAATAAAACTTGGTTGCTATTTAGCAATATTGATAATTTTATCAATATCTTAAAACGCGGCTTATTTTTAGAAATATTTTCTTTAAAAAGGTATAGCTAATGAATAGGGCCGAGTAGGATCTTCATTCCACCATTCCTACCAAGAACTGATGCAAAGGGCCCTTTAAGGATCTACGAAAAGAAAAGCCGCGCATACTCGCGCCAAAAAGAGTGGCGGCCATTTTTTCACGAGACCAACTTTAGCAGTTGTTACAAATAACATAAACTTTATTAAAATATTAAAGATTAATGTAATTTATTTTATATTTAGCATCATATAGTATATAAGATGTGTCTTAACAACGCAGCAGTAAATTTTGGCTCATTAGAAATTTCAAACTAGTTTTTGAAAATTCAAAATGCAAAATCCAATATGGCGTCCGAAATTTCCAAAAATTAAAACCTGAATAACTTTATTTAAAAATGAGATAACCGAAGTTTTGGAAATGACGAATTTTGTATAAAATAAAAATCTTAAAAAAACTGTTGGGCCCTAGACTAAATTGTTTGGGCTGAACATATAGCAGACGGCCCCAGCTATCCCTAATTTATAAATATACATAATTACTATTATTATTGCATAATTTGGTCATAAATTAATTTTGGATATGTATGTTCCCTCGTATATAATAAATAAAATTTTGCTAAACAAATATATTGTGTTACTCAACTGAAAATTACAGTTTTTTTGACAGTTGTCAACCGAAAAAGGTTAAGTGTGATACAGAACTCGAGATCAATGAGCCTTAAGACATAGTACGTTTAAATCTTGGGAAATTTTCCTTATTTCTAGGGAAATTGACAGCCCCTTCGACAGTTGTAAACTCTTAGGGTTCGACGTAAATGCGTGACTAGCATTTCTAGAACCCTTATCAGTAGAATCTTAAAAGATATTACCTTATTCTTAGAAAAATTAACAATTTATTTGACAGCTGTCAACTCTCATAGTTTTAATTCCACATAAAATTCGTGATCACCATGTCTTAAAACCTAATCGGTGGCAGTTCAATTGACAGCTGTCAACTGTTTTTAATTTGACATAAAATTCCTGATCAGCATGTCAAAAAGCGTAACCAGTGGTACTTTCAAAAAGATTTTTTTTTTAATTTTAGAGAAATCGGCAGTTGATTTGCTAGCTGTCAACTGTCAAACTATAATTTGTATGGGGTATTCGGTTTAGCATTACAACAATACTACGATCCCGCAGTTTTATTATAATCGTAACAGCCCTTCTAATTTTTTGCGTAAAACATGGCTTTTCCGACCACTGCGAGGCGGTTGAATACCAATTTTTTGTTTATCGCATTTAACAGTATATATTTAAAATACTCAAAATAACAAAACTCGTACAATTTTTGTCTATTGATTAGAATGAAAAGGCGGAGGTGAAGCAAAAATGGGCATCCCGTTTACTAGGTAAGCTGCGCAAAGATATTACTCAGGAATGTCGAGAGGATTTCGTGCAGTCCATCACCGGAAAGCGAAAATCGATTTGTGTACTTTCGAATCCCGATCAAAAAGGAAAAATGCGCCGAATCGACTGTTTGCGGCAAGCGGATAAGGTATGGCGTTTAGACTTGGTAATGGTTATCTTGTTTAAGGCAATACCACTCGAAAGCACAGATGGGGAGAGGTTGGAGAAAAATCCTGAATGTACACATCCAAGTTTATGTGTTAATCCCTACCACATCAATGTGTCTGTTCGTGAACTAGACCTTTACTTGGCGAATTTCATCAATACACATGACCCATTGCACAGCCCAACACCGCCTTCGCCTCCGCCGCCAACATCAACGGCGCTCTTTCTTTATAATAATGAAAATAGTCATGTTAACATCAACAGCAACGCAAATGGAAGCAACAACAGTATCAACGATATAAAAAAGGATGGCGATCCGCGAAAACATAAAGGTAACGGTTGTTCAATCTCTATACATATGTATATATCGTTATCTTCATATAGAAATGCCCTAACTCATTTCATTTGAAATCTAGTATTATGTAATAGTCGGTAGGTTAGCACCTATAAACCTAATAAAATTTAAAAAACAATTAATAAAGCATTAAATAAGTTACAGGTGTTAAAAACAAGTGCTTGAAAGCTACTCGCAACTAAAGAACTCTGTTTTTGCCTAAGTTTTTGATTGCAAAGGAATAGAAAAATGTGCCGATAGAGCCTTACTAACATACATACATACATACTTTAGGTTAACGATAGGGACTTGTCGGTGTCACCCTATGCCTTTACTGGCTTACCAAATTCCATTCGGATTGGAAATAGGTTTTAATAAATTTAGGGTTTGTTCACATATCTTACTATAGCTTTTAAAATGCAGTTTCAACCAGTGTTGCCAAACATTGGCTTTTCCTACCAAAACTGGTAGGTTTTTTTCTATTTGGGGCCAAATTAAATATTATGTCGGATAATCAGGCAGGTTAAAGGCCTTAGACTCTTTTAAAAAGGCAGAAGGTTTGCCCAAATGCACTTGCATGGTCCCTAGCCTTTTGTGAGCTAGTGGAAGAANTATTTGGGGCCAAATTAAATATTATGTCGGATAATCAGGCAGGTTAAAGGCCTTNATATAAAAAACCTAAATAAAATTTTGGTAGGTTTTGGTTGAGTTTGGTTGGAAAAAAAAATTTGTCCGTGGCAACACTGTTTTCAACCGTCAGCGTTCCTATACTCTTAAGAAACACTGTACGAGGGTGCTTTATTTTACTGCTCACTTTATACTATTTTCATGTATATTAACACATCTTAACAGTGTTGCCGCGAATCGTTTTTAGTTTTAGCCAAATTCCTTTTAGAAAAGGGCTAAAAAGAGCTAAACAAATTTGTTGTGGCTAAAAATGGCAGCTAACATTTTTTTACTTACATAGAATATATATATAAGTATACACGCAAACATTTTCAAAAAGCAATGGTATAGAAAAACAAGGAACTCTGGAAAAAACTAATATTTTATCTAACCCACACTGGCCGGAATTGGATTTTTTGGCATAAATTCAAGATTTTTATAGTAATATATTCTTGATATCAGTTATTTTTATAAAAGTAGATACATATATCAACTAAGATAATTTCCAAATAACAGATTTGAAGTTTCAACCCTGCGCTTTCAAAGTCATGTGTATGATTAGCTGTTATTTTGTCAGAATTGGNCACACATTAGGGAACGATTGTCTTCTTCATCCAAAATTTTAAACATGGCGCCCCCCAAAGTGCCTAACTTCTTAAAAAGAATAAGGTTGGAGTAATTATAATTAGGGTTAAGCACAATAGATAGATGTGTAAAGAGACAAACATTTGTGTAAGTCTGTACAGTAAAATGAATTGTTATTCGTTGTTAATTTGTTTTTATTGTAACGGGTGATTTTTTAAGAGCTTGATAACTTTTTTTTTTANGTGTGATGAGCTTGTGAAAGGTTGCGTTAATAAAGTGTTGAGAGCGTAGCAGTTGACGGTTCTCTCACCTATGCTGCTGCCGCTGCTACTGCTGGCTCTTCTGCTGCTTCTAGTTCTATGTCTCTCGATGCTGGTAACAAAATCAGTAATAACAACAAAGTGCACACGCGAAAAATTATTATTGGATGTAACCCGAGTGCGGAATTAGCAGTTGCTTCTCCCATGAAGGGGTTGCATTTGTCGTCATTTAAGTCTTCAGTAACTGCGGAGCATATTATTAAATATCACGATTGAGAGAAATAGAGATTGCGTCAATCGCGGTACCGCTCTTTGTGATTTTGACAGAATCAGCTGTGTGCGTGACGTCATCTTGGTGCAATTGTTGATTGTGAGCATACGAAAAAACTAAATAACAATTTTAATATTTGTGTGTTAACATTTCTGCGTGGTTTTAAACAATTATTGAGACATTACAAAGCAAAACGAAGTGTGCAGTGGCAAAGTGTAATAGTGAAAACAAAAGGAATGCGTGCGTTTTTTTTTCGTTTCCTGCGGACGCAAACCTGGCGAAAAAGTGGAAGCAGTTCTGCCGGCGAGGAGATGCATTAAACACCAAATCGAGCTTTGTGCTATGTGTGTGAGCTATGAGCTTCTACATGGAACCATGTTGGCCTTTCCTTGGGGAATTGTAATAGGTACATTTCCATGGTGAATGTAGACAGTTGCTGGTTTAGTTTGCTGGCAATGGCACACATACAAAAGCAGTTTCTACAGTAAATAGATACATGAACTTCACTACCTACTTATTTTTGTTAGTACCTGATTCTTTTTAGTGCTGGTTAGGACTGGGTAACGGCGCAAATTTTTTGGCGCTGACACACTTACTCCAGGGCCACTGTCGGAATCAGCACAGTGTGTTGGCGCAATTGCGCCTCTACAGGCTAAAGCTCATTTCCTTTATTGCCGCACGCTGCACGCTGCACCAAAGTGAATTAATACAAGGTGATATCGGTTGAGAAAAAACTCAAGTATACCCAAGTTCAAAACCCAAAAATACAACAAACCCATCATTTTCACATTCAGAAGGACCGCGACGAATTCTAGCTGTGCTGCACATTTTACAAGAGACACTTCTGTTTCGGGTGTTCTTTGCTGGTTCTTTGCGACACCCGGTGTTGTCAGTGTTCCGGTGTTGAACTAAGGTGAATTAATACAAGGTGGTATCGGTTGGGCAAAAACAAGCCAAGTTCAAAACCCAATAATACAACAAACACATAATTTTCACATTCAGAAGAGCCGCGGCTAATTTTAGCAACACCACCTTGTAAAAATTCGCCTTGTGCTGCACATTTTACAAGTGACGCTTCGCTTTTGTGTGTTCTTTGCACCGCCCGGTGTTGTTAGTGTTCCGGTGTTGCTGGCGCCATTGCGTCACAGAGTTGCGAAAATCAGTATCGGTGCCAGTAACTCAGCTCTCGGTATCAGCGCAATGGCGCGGCGCCGCACTGTGTTACCCACGGCTAGTGCTGGTATGAGGTAATGCACCAGTGGATAAGGTCGCCAGGCGCTAATTCAAGCGGCATCTTACCGCGCTGTTACGTACCTAATACAAAACAGTGCCCAAATTATTATACATTTAAAAGTTCACCTTAAATTATGTTTTACTTACATAGAATATTTGTTTCCAAAGAAGTCACACTCAGGCATTCTCTCGGAAATGGTACAAAAGTCATCAAATAAAAGCTGTGGAGTCAACAGCAGTGGAGTTTATGGTGGTTGGCTACCATCCACAAATATAAATATGCATGGCTTTTTACAATGGCGAGTCCAAAAATTCACTTTGCTGCACACCTTCCTTTTGGTCTACATGAAATTGCAAACACTGTTAATACATCCATTTTTTCATGTGCTAAAAATCTTACTTACCTACATCCAAAATTATTGCTACGTGTTCCTAATTAATCAATCTTTGCTTATTTATTGATTCCTGCAAAATTGGGCCATGTAATATTAAAATTAACACATTTTTCGGCATTGTTTGCATATTTTTATATGCGTTTTGGCATTTCTCTCTCGCAATTGCACCAAGATGACGTCACGCAAAAATTACGCTCAAAAATCCTCTCTAATTGGCCCAATCTTGTATTCTATCATTCTTGATTAAATATGTCTCTAAACCAGAGGTGGGCAGCTTCGGCAGAGCATTTGTGTAGTGTGCGTGCAATTGATGTCACTGTGTGCGTACGAACAAGTCGTGCGGTTGAATGAAGGTTTCGCTGTCTTCCCAAGCAGAGCGTGTATGTATACGCGAATACGCCGCGCAGTCGCCCGGCGGGCAGATGCTGCCCAGCTGTGATCTAAACATTCGTCGATCTCATACAGCAGCTATCTCTTGCTATGTGCTTGTTAAGAAAGATGTGTGTACTGACTAAACTCCTGCGCAATTCCATTTAAACGGCCTAACAAGACATCCGATCGCCGCGCAAATACTTTCCCTCCTTTACTCTCATCGTTCGGGTCAAGTGTGAGTAAGCATAAACCAGTTTCTGCAAGCGTACGTAAACTACCGATCAATAGCAAGACGCGTAGAGTATTTACTTTGCCTTCCGCAACTACTGCGAGTAAAAGGTATTTGACAGTAGAGTACTCTACTGGTAGTACTTGAGTATTTTCGAAGAAAACATACATTTGTGGCAAGAATGATAGAAGAATTTTCTGGATCGCGCATTTGTGGTATCTGAGCGATGAAGAGAGCGACGAGCAAAANTAACTTTATGCTCCTTTAGCTTTAATGTGAGGACTGAAATTGTTTATTACCTTTAAGTTTATTGGGACCTTTGAAAATTTTAGCCTGAAATCATTTGACGCTGAAAGCTTACTGGTGTATTTGTTTTTAACCGACTTCACAAAAAGAAGGTTATCAATTCGTCGGGATATTTTTTTTATAATTTTTTTCTATGTATGTTACCGGATAACTTTGGACCACGTTAACCGTTTACTATAATTCTTTTTTAAAGGAAAGGTGTTACCTGACAGGTGGTCTAATTTGGTTTAAATCCGTGCATTGGATCATGAATAAATTAACGATAATTTTAAATTCTTGAATCGAAATCGAATAGAAATTGGTTTTGTTTTTTTTTGCTTAAAAATTACTTGTTTATGTAAGCATCTGTTGAAAATGCAGTCTCTCATAGAAATGTAAAAGTAAGGCCCCTATTATGAGTTGCATTCGACTGTGGTCGAAAGTGCTGATCGAACAATTTTCATTTGGTATTATGACGCTCATTCGATGAAGAATAGCGCTATTGTGAATTTCGCCCGGTTAGGTTGTTTACAATAGTATAATTTTCACCGCTGAGAAGTTTTGTTTACAAATCGAGCAAACTAATGTGCTTATACATATGTATGTAAATTTGTGCAAATGAAATTGAAATAAAAAAGAAAAAAAAATCTCGACGTGCTAGAAAAAACCAGAGATGTATTTTAATTTCGCAGGCTTCTGTTA